ATTTTTCCTATAAATATTTAATAATACAAATTATTACATAATTATGTGATATGATTTATGTAATGATGTTTTTGATCTCCATACAAGAATAAATTTTTTAAATTTTTATTATGTGTGTGAGTGTATTGCCTGCATATAAGTAAGTGCACCCATGTCGTGCAGTGCCCGGGAGAACAGAAGAGGCTGTTGGATTCCCTGGAACTGGAATTACAGACAGTTGCTAGCTGCCATGTGGGTGTTGGGATTCGAACCCGGGTCTTCTGCAAGTACAACCAGTGGTCTTGATCCTTTCTTGCTTTTTCCTGGCATAGCTTTGTTAGTAAATTTTAAGCCTGATTGGATGCAGATATATCAAGACTGTAGCTGTTTTTGTTTTTTTTTTAATTTTTTGTCTTTTTGAGACAGGGTCTCCCTATAGCCCCAGCTTACCTGGAACTTGCTATGTAGACCAAGCTGGCCTGGAACTCACAGAGATCCACCTGCTTCTGCCTAAGTGCTGGGATCAAAGGTGTGTACCACCACGCCCAGTTGGTAGCTTTTTTTTTAGATATCATCTAAAATCCTAATTACATGTTTATGTATGTGTGAGTTTTCTTCAGATATAGTTTGGTATGTAGCCCTGGGTAGCCTGGAACTCACAGGGAACCTGACTCTGCTTCCGGAGTACTAGGATTAAAGGTGTTCACCATCCTCTCCTGGCCTAAGTTTTTTTTTAATTTATTTTTATTTATGTGTACGAGTGTTTTGCCTGTATGCATGTAATACCTGGAGGCCAGAGGAGGGTCCCAGAACTGGAGTTCCAGACTCTTGTTAAGAGCCATGTGGGTGCTAAACAAAATGGAGGTCCTCTGGAAGAGCAGCCAGTGCTCTTAACCACCGAGCCATCTCTCTAGTCCCCTTAGTTATTTGGATTTCTCCCCAAATTCCGTCATATTACATGATGTAGAAATTCTTTTGTCTTTTAAAAACATTACATAAGAAGTGTAACTTCTTTATAACATGGCGCATCTATGTTTAGAGAAAGTATAATTAGAAGCCATTTTATAACCTGAGGGAACTTTTTTCTTGATTTGTCTTTTGTGTGTGATCTATTTTTTAGTGTGAAGCCTCATTTTAGGTCATCCAGTGGTTCAGAACACTCAACAGAGGGGGACGGACCGTTGAACAGATCTAGTTCAAGGAACTTTCTACCTGAACGGCAGAGCTCCACAGTAACAGGTCATCAAGAACAAACTTATGTTCCAAAGGAGGCCCCCACTTTACAGATGGAACAAAATGGGGACTATGGTAGAGGCAGGTAAGGGAGTACAGGTATATAAAGATTCTTTGATCATAATGTGCTCATCTTGAATGTTTGGAAACCATGATCTGATGTATTTTGTTCTTAACTTTTTAATATTTGTATTTTTGGGGAGGCAGAGCCAGGTGAATCTCTGAGTTTCAGGCCAGCTGAGGCTACAAGAAGACCCTGTCTGAAAAAGACAAAAAAAATTTTTAATTTTGTGTATTAGTTTAGCCTACAAGTAAGCAAATGTATCACACTCCTGTAGTCCCCCCAGAGGCCAGAAGAGGGTATCAGATCCCCTAGAACTGAAATTAAAATGGTTAGCCCCATGTGGGCCTGGGAACTAAACCCAGATCCTCTGCAAGAGCAGCCAGTGCTCTTAGCTGCTGAGCCATCTGTCCAACACCTATTGTAATTATTTTAATTATTAGTGTGTGGTTATATTAAATGAACACATCGTTTTTACAATATGGATTAATGTTGTTTGGAAAAGTTTTGTTTGAGATAGGTGGTTGGTAATAATAGGCATTAACCCATGTTCTCAAACATTCTAGGCAAGTACTACCACTAAGCTATACCCTCTACCTCTCATACAATTATTAAGCAATACAGAGTAGGAGCTAGAGAGATGGCTCAGCAGTTAAGAGCACTGACTGCTCTTGCAGAGGACCTGGGTTCAAGTCCTAGCACCCACATGGCAGCTACGAACTGTCCTTAACTCTAGTTCCAGGGGAATCCAAAGCCCTCTTCTGACCTCATGGCATTGCACAACATGGGTATACTCACATATATGCAGGCAATACACTCATATGCATAAAATAAAAACAATAAAATATTTTTTTAAAAAAGAAAAGAAATACAGAGTAGCTGGGTATGGTGGTGCATGCCTTTAATCCCAGCACTCTGGAGGCAGAGGATCTCTGTGAATTCAAAGCCAGCCTGGTCTACACAGTGAGATCCAGGTCAGCTGGGGCTATGGGGAGATCCTGTCTCGAAAAGAAAAGAAAAGAAATAACAGAGTAGCTATATGGAACATAGATTTTGAATCATTTATATTCTAAAGTTATTAATAGTTACTGAGGAAAGAACAGCTTAGAAAGATACAGTACTTTTACCCTCTAGTTTTGTTTCTCAACTGTATGAGTAGGTGGCATTCTGCACTGATACTCTGGCTACTTTACACTTTACAAATATAGAGAGTGTGTTGCTAATCAAAATGTGCCCAGCCAACTTTGTGATGGAGTTTAATGGATGATTTTTCATGAATTAGCTCAGGATCCCTTTATAAAAAATATATTTACCCCTTAATAATAAAAGAAAGTGGCCCCCATTTTGAAATTTTAGATAAAATGTAGATAAAATCTATCCATCTTTGAGCCGGGCATAGCAGCACATGCCTTTAGTCCCAGCACTCAGGAGGCAGAGTTCCAGGCAAGCTGGGGCTGCAGGGAGACCTTGTCTTTAAAAGACAAAATAAAAAAGAAATCTATTCATCTTTGATAGAATGTATGTATTTCAAGAATCTTAAATGTTGTTCCTCTTCCTCGTTTTTGCTAAAAGGCGAACTCTTTTCAGAGGTCGAAGACGGAGAGAAGATGATAGGATCCCAGTAAGTATTTAATCTTTAATTATATCTTTCAGATATATGTGCTCACATGGTTTAAAACTAAATTTTAAAAGCATATTGCATTAGTAATAGACATTTAAGTCTCTTTGTTCTTTATGTTTAGATAGGGTCTCACTGTTTGGCCCACTCTGGTCTGAAAACTCAAAGTCTTACTGCTTCAGTCTCCCAAGTGCTGGCATTATATGCGTTGATACACCAGTGTATGACCATGTACTGATCTTTTCCTGTCTATTGCTCATACAAACAGTGCTATTACAAGTACTGGAATGAGGGGCTGGAGAGATGATTCAGCAGTTAAGAACACTGGCTGTTCTTGCAGAAGACACAGGTTTAAATCCCAGCACCTACATGGCAGCTAACAACTGTCTGTAACTCCAGTTCCAGGGAATCCA